AGAAAGAAGGGGATGGTCCCGAGTAATGACTTTGTGGATGAAGAATCCCCGTGGCTGGGGACACATCAGTGATTTTGGGGTTCAGCCAGCAAAGTATCCACATGGGGGGGCTCTCCATGGTCCCCATGTGACACAGGAATATGGGATGGTGTCCATGCCTGCCTGCATCCCTCCCCGCTGGGATTGCTGATTGACCCAGGGCTGCTGCCTCTGTGTAGGGCCCACCCAGCCCGGTGTCCTAAAGGGTTAAAGTGGCCTTTGGAGTGGCCCTGGTGCTGCTCAGACACGTGTGTCTCCTCCAGCCCCGCTCTCTGCAGTGTCCTTCAGAAGGGCAGCCCTTCTGAGCATGCCTGCTCCCCCTCGCTGCCTCCTTCCCAGACCCTGTGCCTTCTCCCAGGGCTTTTCCAGCTCCTCAGCCACTCACTCCCACCCTGCACCCCAAAAAAATCACCCCTGGGTCCCCAGTGAGCATCACCCAGGGGTCTTCACCATCCCCTCACCCAGACTGACCCTTCATCTGCCTCCTTCCAGAGAAAAATCATCTTAGGGGGGTGGGAGAGCTGCCTAACCCTGGTTAATAATTGTGTCATTCCTCCTGCCTGCTGGAGCCTGCAGCTGCTCCAGTAAACTTGGGAAGCCTGGGAGGATGGGGTGTTTTTGTAAGCAGTCTCGTTTTTGGGCCTCTTCTTAGCTAACAGGCATCATCCTGGAAGCATCCTGGCTTTCCCGAAACAATCTTCCCGTGCGTGGGTGCTTGGGAAGCCGGGGTGAAGCCGCAGGAGCATCCGGCTTAACCGTGCGCGTGCCGAGCCCTTCCAGCCGCTCCACGTGCTCCCTTCCCTCCTTCCTCCCCCTCTTTACCCGGCTCCAGCTTGAAACACCAACCAAGTGGGCTTTCTTCCCTCCTCCTTCGTATTTCTTCTCCTCCTGTGAAAGGAGGGGACGTTAATCCCACCCTAATTCAACCTGCAGGGGGATGTGATGGCTCATGCCAACCCCAGCTGCAGGGACAAACCCCCTTGTCCCCAGGGCTGACGCCAGTGACTCCTGCTGCAGGAAGACATATATGTTTGGTTTTTTTTTTAATTTTCTTTTTTTATTGCCTCTGAACACCAGCATTTTTCAGGGCCATGGGAATTGCAGGGCCTCTTACAGCTCCGACTCCAGGAATGTCCCCGTGGTGGGAGCTGGAATGGGAGATGTCAACATCTCCCTGACCTGGCCTGCATCAGGGAAGTGCGTGAAGGCTTTACCTCCTTTCCTCCACGAAAAGTGTTTGATTAAAGTGTTCTTCTAATGTTCTTTCCGCACTGCTTTGAGGGAGGTCTTTAAAATCAGGGGAGGGAGCGCTGCCAGAGCTCTGACTAAGCCTGACCTTGGATCCTGTGCCATATGGATCCGTACTGCAGCGGCCGGGGTGCTGGGAAGCTGCAAATCATTCCCTTCTGGCCTTGGGAGAGGGTTCCCAAATGTCTGTGAGCAGCTCAGGGCACGGAGATCACCTCAGCTTCAGCTGTAGGGCAGGAAACATGTGGGACCTGGCTGCTTCTGACATCCCCAGGGTGGGAATGCTGGGTCCAGGTTGGGTGCCATCACCCTTCCCTCCCTATCCCTTCCCTCCACATCCCCCTGGGCTCTTCCTGCCCGGGCTGAGGATGGAAGCAGATCAGCTCAGGGTGGGTTTGGAGTTGTTAGGCATTGAGGGAGCAGACGCTGCTGGATGAAGCTTATATAACCCCAGGCACAGCATCCGGCCCCTGCCTGGGCTGCAGTAACCCAGATACAGCCCAGGAAGGAAAAAACCACACGTGGGGCAGAGTCTCTCCCTGGCTGGTTGCTCAGGAGTAAATATTTACATGGCACTGCATCCGCCAGCAGCCGGAGCCTTGGGAAAAGCAGCCCAGCTCCCCCTGGGAGGGATGGGGATGAACCTTTAGCAGCTGAAATGGGAACCCTCCTGTTGGAGAAGTTAGTGGGGGGAAATTCCTGATGTTGCCATCGATTCCTTGGGCAGGAATGGCCCCGTGTGAATCTGCTGATCCCAACAGAAAGACAAGAAACCTTCAGAAGCTGCAGCGCCAGCATTGCCTTGGGACAGCTTCCCTTGCCCCAAAATCTCTTTCACTTGAAGGATGGGTGTTTCCTCCAGTCCTCCAAGTGTTCAGACTGTGGTTTAAACTGGAATTCCAGTCCCATCTCCTCTCTGCCCCAACCCAAGGAATAGCAATCCCCGTGCTGCCTTGCTGGGCATGTGGAAGCCGGGCTGTGTGGTGTGGGCAAGGAACTTTTTTAATAGGATCTATTAACTCCTGGATTTCCTTTTCCTTGTTTGCTCAAGCTCTTGGGGTTGGTGTTGACTCAACTGGTCTCGCTTTTAATAGTTTCGGTGCTGTTTGATGCTGTTTGATCCACAGGGGAGCTGCTCCCATGGAGTTTGTTTTCCAGAGGAAAACAGTCGCTTGAGTGACTGTGCGTGCCCCAGGCTGGGGATATGGGGGTCGGGGGTTGCTCTCAGGGAAATGGGGTCTCAAGGGGAATTCCCTGCTGGTGGGATTCAGGAAAATGACTTGAAATGCAGTGGGTGCTTCTTCATGGGTGAAGCTGCTCCATGTGCTCTCCTGTGCATCCCTGTTCATCCTCCAAAGGTGGATGTGCCAGGGACCAGCTGCCTAATCCCCTCAGTAGGTGCAGGTGAACAGCAAATAATCTTTACCAAATCAGCCAGAAACAGGAGCCTGAAGGTATTAAGCATTATTATTATTATTACTGTTATTATTATAGTTATTACCAAGGCTTATTCCCCTTCCTGCTGCCCCTGGATGTGCCCATGGCTGGCCATCCTCATAACCCAGCACCCTGCTGCAGCCTTCCTCATCCTCCAGGAGGGAAATTCGGGCACAGAGCTGGGATCAAACCAGTTCACCCTGGCCTGGCATCATCCCCACAGCGAGAGGCTTTCTTCCCATCAGTCACTCCCACCCCAAAGCGGGATGCTGGAACACTCGGAGCAGGATCCCAGCAGGATCCCACCAACAGATTGGTCCAGATGAGCTCTGGAGCGCTCTAAAAATACTAAAGCAGAGAAAGCAGGGAGCAAAAAATGGCTGAGATTCAGTGAAATCAAAGGCATAATTAAAATGCAGCCCGTGTGAGTGTATTTTTAGGACCCTACAAAAAGGCTCTAAACCATTGAATTCCCATCAGCACACGAATGTTCCAGTTTAATGGAATCCTGGGGCCTGTGGGGAAGAAGTGAGAGATGCTTAATTGTCAGTGTTTGTGTTTTATTCATGATTGAACATACTTAGCAAGCAAAAACTGATTTGCTGTGGGCTTCTCGCTGCTTGTGTGGCTTTAAGCCTTATTCCAGCCAGCAATTGCCCGGCGTGCTGGAAGGGTTGGTTGTTCCCGGTGTTTGCATGAGCTGTGCATGGAAAAGGGATTGTTGCCTCCCCTCCCGCAGGGAGCACCCTGCCAGGGCTGCCTTGGGGCTCCAGGGGATCCAAGACAGAGGAAAAAACCCTGTGGGGGCGAGTCAGGAGCCGCATCCAGGCTGGGAAGTCCCTGAACGCGGGTGGCTGGATTTTGGGAGAGCTGCGGGAGAAAGTTTGGATGTTCCCATCTCCTCCTGGCCTCCCCTCATACCTGAGCCCAAAACCACTGAGCCAAGGTGGACACCGGGCTCCTTCCCACATCGCTCCGGCACCGGGGACCCATTGGAGCAGCCGGAATGGTGCGGCCAGACCTCAGGCGTGATGAATCCTCTGGGCTCACCCACCCTGTGCCTGCAGCTCAGGTGGCAATCTGGGATCTAATCCTGCCCCCGTGGCCCTGGCTGGGAGCTGATTCACCGCCTGTCCTTGGGGAAGGGATTGTGGAAGCGACACCTTTTCCCATCGGAGCCGGATTGATGCGGCGCCTTCCCCGCCTGGCTGCGCAGGTGGAGGAGGGATGAGCCGGCACCGTGGCGCAGATGTGGTCCCTGCAGGCTCGGGGAGGGGGCTCGGGGGGGACTCTGGATCGTCAGCGGGATCGTGACTCGTTATGGAATGGGATTTAATGTGTTGTGAAACGACGTGCAGATGGCACAGCCGCCCGGCCGGAAAGAACGGAGGAACACGGGATGCCAAGGCAGGGTTCCTTATTTTAAGCTGCTTCCCTTGCCAGGGAACAAATATGCCTCGCTTCAAAATAATAATTATAAAACCTGGGAGAAGATCCAGGGAACCCAAAATCCTTCTGTGGGTATTGGTGTGCTGGCAGATGCCTGGCTGGGGGGTGTTTGGTGGGGGAATATCATCCCAGCGGGTCATGGCTGGCTCAGAGATCAGCATTTGGGGTCATGCTGTGATTAAAAAAGGGGAAAACATGTTCCCTGTTACCTTGCACCTCAAGGATTCATCCTGTCCCTGCTGCAGCCAGCCATGTGAAACCTCCCAGCGGGCTCCTGAAGCTGCAGGAAGGGGAATTGCATCCTGAAACCCACCAAGCACCAGCTCCCCTGCGTCAGGGATCACCAGGGATGGGCACTGTGCTGCTGCCAGCACTTGGCATGCCAGGAATAATGGCACTGGGTGGGCAGGGTGGGAAATGCCAGTGCCTGCGTGTGCTCGGGATTAGCTGCAATGGGAAGAACTGGAGCCAGCGACAGCTTGTGTGGGGAGAACTGTCTGTGCCACAGGCAGCTGTCGTGGGCCTGGGGGTCTGCAGAGAGACCCTGGGGTGTCCCAAGGGTGGCTGTTGAACTGGTGTTTACTGTTATGTTCTGGCTTGAGATCAGCAGTGCCAGGGTGTGTGGGGTCTGGTTTCCACTTGACAGAGTGTCAAGGTTTCCCTCTTGGGGCAGGAGAGGAAACTGAGGCACACGAAGTTAGTGGATGCTGAAGAGTGCAGGGAGGGCTGGGAGCTGCTCCCTGACCCCAGCAGGGGTGTCCTGCTGCAGACAACACCTTCCATTTGTACAGCCAACACGTGTCTTCCTCTCTCCTCCTCCTCTCCAGGCTTCCACGTGATCCCTTCAGTGTCCAGCATCGTCCCCGAGAGCTGCCTGCTCATCGTGGTGGGCCTTCTGGTCGGGGGGCTCATCAAAGGGGTGGGCGAGAAGCCCCCCATCCTCAAGTCGGACATCTTCTTCCTCTTCCTCCTCCCGCCCATCATCCTGGACGCCGGCTACTTCCTCCCCTTGCGCCAGTTCACCGAGAACCTGGGCACCATCCTCATCTTCGCCGTGGTGGGGACGCTCTGGAACGCCTTCTTCCTGGGGGGGCTGATGTACGCCGTGTGCCAGCTGGGCGGCCCCGGCCTCAACCACATCGGCCTCCTGGCCAACCTGCTCTTCGGCAGCATCATCTCCGCCGTGGACCCCGTGGCCGTGCTGGCCGTGTTCGAGGAGATCCACATCAACGAGCTGCTCCACATCCTGGTCTTCGGGGAGTCGCTGCTCAACGACGCCGTCACGGTGGTGAGTGCGCGGAGGGGCTGGGTTTGGGGGAGCACCTTGGGGTGGTGGCAGCAGGACACCGGGGCTGGCAGCTGCTGTCAGGGCCGTTCCAAGCTGCTCAGCTCCGCTCGCTCCGAACCCTGTGCGGCTCAAAGCTAAATATAGCGGCTCAGAACACTGCGGAGGTGAGTTGAGGTGAAGCGGTTTACTTGGTGGTTTGGGGAGGCCGAAGGGCACACGGTCCAGCCAGCTGCTGCCTCTTGGTGAAGAGCAGGGACACTGTGCCTGGTGCTTTGGTTTGCTGGGAATCAGCTCTCCAGGGTGGAATTGCTGCAGTGCCCGTGCCTGCCCTGCCAGGGAAAGCAAGAGGGGCTGGTGCTGGGTCAGGCAGCACAGCCATGTAGCTGCTACTCCCTCTGACTCCTCTCTTGTGCTCACCCTTGCTGTCCTCCAGATGTAGCCATGGGGAAGTGGGAGGGCAGGACATCACCAGCCATGGCAAGAAGGGAGCTGCGGGGGCTGCAGCCAGGCTGGCATCCCGCCAGACCACCCCTCGGCCCCCTTCTGAGCAGCAGCTTTGCAGGGACCTTTGGGAGGTGGAGCCAGGCCTGCTCCATTTCCAAAGGACATCAGTGTCCAGGTGCTGGCTCAGCCGTCTGCGTGACCTCCTCCTCTCTGCAGAGCTGACCTCTAAATTTAATTCTAACCCACTGCTTTTTCCTGGCTCCTCTCCCATATCCCAGCTGTCCATTTTGGAGCTGGCTGCTCAGCGTGCTGCTGTGCTGCTGCTGAGGTTCCTGCTGATGACGAACACGCTGACCCACCACAGGGCTCCTCCCAGCCACTTCTGCCCCATTTATGACCAGAGGGGCTGCCTGCAGGATCTGTGTCCCTGCTCCCATCCCTGGGGAATGCTTTTGCCTTCTGCTGGCACATCTGTCCCTGCCCATGTCCCAGGGCCCAGCCCTGGCAGGCAGGAGCTGGCCCCTCACCCTCTCCCTGTTTGCAAGTGCTGTTGTTCCTGCAGGATGCTCTAAATCCCTTTTCCCATCCTGACACGCTGCCTTAACAGCTCTCCAGTGTCTGGAGTGGGGAGAAAGTGATGAAGCCGGGGATGGGCTCCTCCTATGAGGTTTCCCTCAGCTACAAAAGCTGTCTCAAGGGTTTGGGCTCCTCTCCAGGCTGAGCAGAGCAGATGGTGGCTTTTCTCTCTGTGCATCTGTCAAGGGTCTCCAAGCCTGGATCCGTCCTGACCTTTCCACTGGGAAACAGGAACTGTCTCTGGCTGATTCAGACCATGACCCAAGGCCTTCCTGGGACAGCTGGGGAGCAGAGCTGTCCCAGACACATCTCTGATGGCCCAGTGTCCCTCTGAGCCACAGAGGACGAGGAGCTGGCCGGTCCCTATGGTTCTGTGTAGCAAAGCACCACCAGCCTTTTTTGGTGTGAGGTTTGGTCCAGCACAGGACCCAGCCTAGAGTCACCAAGCACTGACACACCTCAGCTCAGGTGTGCCACTCTGGGACTCTGCCTGGCTCCCAGGGAAGGTCCCCATCCAGGTCCCCTCCAAGGTGGGGTTGTCCCTTGCCAGCAGGACAGTTTGAACCCCTGTCTCCCTTCTCCCTGCCAGGTCCTCTACCACCTCTTTGAGGAGTTTGCCAACTTCGAGCAGGTGACCATCCTCGATATCATCCTCGGCTTCCTCAGCTTCTTCGTGGTGTCCCTGGGCGGCGTCTTGGTGGGCGTCATTTACGGGGTGATCGCCGCCTTCACGTCCCGCTTCACCTCCCACATCCGAGTCATCGAGCCCCTCTTCGTCTTCCTCTACAGCTACATGGCCTATCTCTCTGCCGAGCTCTTCCACCTCTCCGGCATCATGGCGTGAGTTGGGAATGGGGGGGATGAGACGCCCTCCTGTCCCCAGGGCCGTTTGGAGGATTTACTGTGGCGTAACCACTGGCCCAGCATGGCCAGTGCGTGCCCAGAGGTGTGTTTGGGGTGGGATAAGCAGGGAGGCAGATGAGGGAAGTGACTCTCTTGAGTTGTTCCACAGATCCCAGGGCGCTGGCAGCCCGTTTCCCATTCTCCTGGGTACACAGGAGCAGGCAGGGCCTGGCTCCAGTGCTCACTCCTGCCCTACCAGGGGGAAAAAGAAACCTCCTATTGCCTTCTCTGGAGGCCTTGAATAATTGCTGGTGCCTCACAAGCTTTGTCCTTGTGGTTTGGTGTAAGAGCACAAAATGCTGCTGCAGGGCCAGGGTTTGGGGCTGTCCCCATGTCCCCACAGCTGCTGAGTGCCACAACCTTGCCCCCAGGCTCATCGCCTCTGGCGTGGTCATGAGGCCTTATGTGGAAGCCAACATCTCCCACAAGTCCCACACCACCATCAAGTATTTCCTCAAGATGTGGAGCAGCGTGAGCGAGACCCTCATCTTCATCTTCCTGGGTGTCTCCACCGTGGCTGGTCACCACTACTGGAACTGGACCTTCGTCATCAGCACGCTGCTCTTCTGCCTCATCGCCAGGGTGTTAGGTGAGCTGTCAGTGTGGTGGCAAAGTCCTTGGGGAGGGTCACAGAATCGTGGAATTCCCAGGTTTGCCTTGCTGGGGAGACTGGAGTTGACTGGGTGGCGCTGCTCCACAGTGGGCATCACCCCTGCGCGTGGTTGGCTTTGGGAGGTGGGGTAAAGGCCAGGTGAGGGATGTTGGGATGAGCAGCAGGACAGCACCCACCTGCACCCACAACCCTGGGGAGGGTGACACTGCACTGCAGGCTGGGCTACCAGGGGGTCTTTTTGGGTCTGGAGGGGATCATTCACCATCTGCTCACACAAGAGCCTGCCCTGCTCCCCCAGGTGTCCTGGTCCTCACCTGGTTCATCAACAAGTTCCGAATTGTGAAGCTGACGCCGAAGGACCAGTTCATCATCGCCTACGGGGGCCTGCGGGGAGCCATCGCCTTCTCCCTCGGGTACCTCCTGGACTACAAACATTTCGGCATGAGGGACATGTTCCTCACAGCCATCATCACCGTCATCTTCTTCACAGTTTTCGTGCAGGTTGGTGGCGCTCAGGTTGTGGTTTCAGAGGGAAAGGGGTTATTTAGTGGCTCTGTGCGTGCGTGGAGAGCGAGGAGCACAACCCCACCCTCCATCCCTGCCCCTGTCACTGCCCCCCAAAAAGCTCCTGAGGTTACCTGGTGACACCAACAGTGATTTTGGCTGTGCCGAACCCACCCTGCTCCCACCAGTGTGCCTTGGGGAGAGATCTAACCCCCTCTCCCCCTTCCCTAGGGCATGACCATCCGGCCCTTGGTGGACCTGCTGGCCGTGAAGAAGAAGCAAGAGACAAAGCGCTCCATCAACGAAGAGATCCACACGCAGGTAACGCGCTGCTCCGGCCGGCCCTCCCCGCGCGCTTCTCGTCGCCGCCTTAGCCCTCTGCTCTCTCTGCTTCTGCCACCTCCACCGCTGTAACCAGGCGGGTTCACAGAGCAGGACCTGCCCCTAAATCAGTGCCCAAGGTAAGGGGGGACAGAGCGAGGACTCTCCCCCGTCTGTGTCGTCCAGTGCCCGCTCCGACCCAGCTCTCCCCTGTGCCTGGTAGAGCCGCAGCCTGGTTGTGTAGGTCTGTCCTGCCCTCCCGAGGCCCATCCTGGACCCACAGCCCTGATTTTGCACCCCCTGAGTGCCCTCTGTGTCAGCGTGGGTGTAGGGGTGGGGAGAGGGTGGGCAACAACCCTCCGAGCTGCTGACGCCTCGGAGTGTCTCTTCCAGTTCTTGGATCACCTTCTGACGGGGATCGAGGACATCTGTGGTCACTACGGGCATCACCACTGGAAGGACAAGTGAGTGTGGAGGTTTGGTGGCTGGGGAAGGGTTGGAATCACTCCCCAGAAGGCTTCTCAGCCCCGTGCTGGGTTTTTCCCTAGGCTGTAACATCCACACACACACACCCCCTGTGGTGAATTATGGCCCTGGGTTGGGTCCAAGTGGGGCTGTGCCCCTTCACCACAGCAGGGTGGCAGCTGCTGGTGGCTGGTCCCTGCAGGAGCTCAGGACCATCCACAGTGGGTGTGAGCAGCTTCTGGGTGTTTTGGAGTCTGTCTGGCTCAGGAGGGGTTCAGAGCAGCTTGGCCTGACCTGCGCTGGTGGGAACTGAGCCCACCACTAAACATGCCATCCTGGGCCTGGGATGGGGAGCAGGGAGTAGGTGGTGGGGCAGGGGGAGGTCTGACATGTCGCTGCTCCTTCTTTCCCTGTGTCCCTGGGTAGGCTGAACCGCTTCAACAAGAAGTATGTGAAGAAGTGCCTGATCGCAGGGGAGCGCTCCAAGGAGCCCCAGCTCATCGCCTTCTACCACAAGATGGAGATGAAACAGGCCATCGAGCTGGTGGAGAGTGGGGGCATAGGCAAGATCCCCTCCGCTGTCTCCACCGTCTCCATCCAGTGAGTTCCCAGCACTGGCACCTTCCCATGGGATCCTGAGTGCTCCCTGCTAGTGGCCACAGGGCAAGCAGCCCTTGGGTCATGCGTGGCCATCGTGGTGTCACTCTGAATCCTGTCTGTCCACGCAGGAATATCAACCCCAAGTCCCTCCCTGTGGAACGTATCCTGCCGGCCCTGTCCAAGGACAAGGAGGAGGAGATCCGGAAAATCCTCCGCAACAACCTGCAGAAAACCAGGCAGAGGGTGAGGTGTCCCCTGGCACTGTGTGTGTCCCCTTTGCCTCGCTGGGGGTGGCCAGGACCACTGCCCACCAAAAGCCCTCAGCTAGGCCCTTCACTCCCACTGTCCCTACCCTGCTGCCCTTTGTGTACCCAGCCTGGTTCTCCATCCCCAGGAGGCTTTTCCTCCTGAGGTGGCACTGGGATATTCTGAGGGGAAGGATGGCTTGGTCAGGGTTAAAAGCCCAGCCTTTAAACCCTTGCTGGGCCGAGGTGGGTCAGGATCAGGCATCCCGTGGTGGCACACAAGGGATGAGCCACCAGCTTGCCTGGAGCTGCTCTGCCCACTGGTGGCTGTTTAGTCCATCTCCAGGGAAAACAGGGCTGTGACCTTCCTTCCCTTTCCATGTGGGATTTTAACATCTCCTTTCCTTGGGGTCTCTTCCCAGTTGCGATCCTACAACCGGCACACGCTCGTGGCCGACCCCTACGAGGAGGCCTGGAACCAGATGCTCCTGCGGAGGCAGAAGGCCCGGCAGCTGGAACAGAAGGTGTCAGGGGAATGCTGGAACTGGGATGCTGCCACAGGCTGGGAGGGGGACAGGGTGGCTTCCCAGCCTGGGAAGGACATGAATGTCTGGCACAGGGAGAGGGCTGAGGTTCAGGTGACAGTGGGTGACCCCAAACCTTGGGGGTCTCTGATCGCCCCAGGCTGTGAGCAGTTCCCTGCAGCGTGGCTGGGAGGATGTGTGCACGTGTCCTGTGCATCCCACTGCTGCTCCTTGCTCATCCCTGCGGCCTGGGGTCAGTTCCCTGCCTCCCCTTCCCCGTGTACCTTGGCCACTCCACTGAGACAGTCCCTGTGTTCCCATTCCAGATGAACAACTACCTGACGGTGCCGGCTCACAGGCTGGACTCGCCCACCATGTCCCGGGCTCGCATAGGCTCAGGTAGGTGGGGTGGAGCTGTGGCAGAAGCATCACTGCTGGCACCCAAAACATTCGGAGGGTGTGCTGTCCTTCACCTCCTCGGCTCCCTGGGGCTCTCCAGCCCCGACCATCCCCATCCCATACCCGTGGGTTTGCTGTTCTGAGCAGAAGCACCTACTTTGCTTCTCAGCAGAATTCCCACTGGGAAGTCGGGTTGGCCAGTCTCTCCAGGGCTCAGCTCACTCCAGCCATGTCTGTGTCCATGCCTTTCCCTGCCCTCCGTAGAGGAGGGAACCAGGAGTGCTCAGCCCCGAGACCTGTTGGTCTGGACTCCCAGCTCCTCTGTCACGCACTTGCCTTGCCATCCTCAGTTCCTCCTGTCCTGTGTGTCCCTTCCTGCTCTGGGGATAGGGGGACAGTGTGACGGGGAGTGACGGGGCTGCAGAGACTGCGGTCCATCAGCAGAGGGCAGCTTTGCCCTTCCTCATGGAGCCGGGCTGCCGGCAGCTCCAGATGGGATGTGGAAATCGGGGAGAGGAATTACACAGCAGAATCGGAAATCGGACAGACAACCCAGGCCCCCCAGCCCCAAACACCTCAGCCCCAAATATCTGGGGTGCATCACCCGGGAGTCTCTGAGACCCCCCCCTTCCCTTCCTGACCCCTCTCTGCCCCCCCAGACCCGCTGGCCTACGAACCCAAGGCGGACTCTGAGAACCTGCCCATCATCACCATCGACCCGGCCTCGCCGCAGTCCCCCGAGTCGGTGGACCTGATGAACGAGGAGCCCAAGGGCTGCAGCGGCCTCCCACCCTCGCCCGAGGAGGATGAGGAGGGGCTGGTGATGCGGGTGAAGGAGCCCTCCTCCCCGGGGACTGATGATGTCTTCACCCCGGGGACCGGCGACAGCCCCAGCAACCAGCGGATGCTGCGGTGCCTGAGCGACCCGGGGCCCCGGCCGGAGCCGGAGGAGGGGGAGCCCTTCATCCCCAAGGGGCAGTAGCTGCTGGCACGAAGCCTTGTTGTCGTTACTCTCTCTCTTCATTCGTTCGTTCTTTGCTCTCCTTTTTTTGGTTTCCTGTCACTACACACCAGGTTTGGGAAGGGGAGACTGTCCTGGATGGACTGGGAATTGCCAGGACGGCTCTGCCCTGGGCTGGCCCCGATGAGCAGGGAAGGATCCCCGGGATGCCCCGGGCTCCTCAGGTGCCATGGCCTAGGCGTGACGGACGATTTACTGGGATTTGCAGGTGCCTCACAGCCCCCACGGGGCTCTCACAGAGGTGCCCACCCACTCAGGACCTGCGAGTGGCACAGGGGGCTCTGACCAGGGGTGTTCATAGAGACATGGCACAGCTTCCCCTCTCCCCAGTTGTGCTTTATCTGCCCCTTTGCCTTGCTCTGGAGCAGAGGGACAACAGGAGCCAGGCTCTGCACTGGGGCTGGCACACACACACACTCCCCCCAGGGCCCTCCCAGAGACCTCGGGATGGTGCCTCTGCTCCCTGCCCCGGCCACTTCCCCATGGGGCCGGCTGTGCCCGGGATCCTCCCCCCTGGCCCCACATTTCATGCCAGGTCTTGTCAAATAAATATCTTAGAGCCATGCAAGGGGAGAGCCAGGATCCCCTTTCTTTGAGCAACCTCTCCATCCCTCCTGGAACCACTGTCACCTGTCCCCGTGGGGACCCTCCACCAGTCTTGGCCCCTTGCCCTGTGCCAGCGCGGCAGCGGCTGCTCCTTAACCAAAGACGGGGTCTGGGGTGTGCCAGGGGAGCATCTCCTACTTGGGGGCGATTATTTATCTCTCCTGCAACCAAGAGGAGCTGGGGGAGAGCTGAGGAACAGCGTGGGGGCCGGGAAGTTGACAGGATGGAGGGACGTCAGGGGGTGCCAGGGGTCCTGGGTTTGGAAGGACCCATCTTTCCCCCACGGCTTGGCTGGAGGGATCGCCGAGTGTTTCGGTGATTTACAGCCCTCCCCGGGCTCGGGGGTGTCCTGCATCCTGTCTGAGCACATCACCTCGTCCCCCACGTGCCACCCAGCTCCCACCACGTGCCACCCTCCGCCGTGGATGCCACGGGGTGCTCACCCCCCCCCTCCCCTCCCCGGGGGGAGCCCCCAGCCGCTTCCCCCCTCCCCGTGCCGTGCCTTGCCACGCGTCGCCTCTGCCCCGCTGCCTTGGTGGGCACCTGCCCCAAGTGCCCACCCCACTCCACATCCCGCTGGGACCCCCCCCCCGGGGGTCCAGCATCTACCGGGGTGAGCACCCACGTCGCTGCCTGCGCCTGCCTGCTGCCCTGCTCTGCCTCCAGGAGGGGGAAAAAAAACAACAACAACAAAAAGCAATGGAAATTCTCTTGTACAAAAAGGAAAAAAAAAGAAAAAAAAAAACAAACCCACATGTAAAGAGAGATTCTTGGTTTTTATCATAAATATTCTAATAAATTAATGTTGATTTTTAGTGGGGGTATTTTCCAGCTGTTTGGGCTCCTACCCTTTGCCACATGGTCATGGTTGTCCCAGAGGAACAAGATGGGTGTGTGGCTTCATCCCCAGAGCTGGGATGGAGGGTTTGCCCCTCACCCTCCTGCTGTGGCCTGGGGAGAACTGGAACCTTATCCCAGGGGGGGCTTTCTCAGCCATTCCCGGTTTTGGCAAAGATGGAGGCTCAACAGAGCCTGGGCTCCCACATCCCTCCCAGACCCACACGGGGGGGAATGGGCTGGTGGTCTCACGGGGTGAAGGTCCCTTTGGAGGGGGATGGATCACCCTGGCACAGCCTTGGGGTGCCAACTGGGTGTCCCAGCACAGCTCTGCACACCCCAAGCCTGGGGTGCTGTCCCTGGGCAGGTAGGTGTGACACCTGCCTTGTTCTGGCACTGCAGTAAGGTTTTGGGGGATGCTAAAGATTCCATCCCTAGGGAAGGGGGCTCCTGGAGCCCCTCGCCCTGGGGCAGCTGCAATGGGAATGTTGTTTCATGGCTGCAAATTAAAGCCCTGAGCCACCAGGCAGGTCGTGACTCAGCCCCCGCCCTCCAGCAGGGCGTCAGCGCCAGCCTTGCTCACCTGCTTAAAATACCTGAACCCCAGGGTCCTACGTGGCCCCGGGCTGGGATTTGGCCAGGTCACCCTGCCCCAGGGGTTCCCCCTTGCCGAGGGGTCCCTGAGTGGGATGAGGTGGCCAGGGATGTGGGGCAGGTGATGCTGTCAGGCCCATGGGGCAGGCAGTGACCGGGGACAAACAATGCCTTGGGGCCCACGAGGTGGGTGATGCTGTTGGGCCCGTGGGATGGGCAATGCCATGGGGCAGGCGATGCCGTGGGTCCCAGGGGGTGGGCGATGCCGTGTGCCCCACGGAGGTGCCAGTTTGGTGAGTGCCATCCTTGCACCCCACACAAGGTTGGGGGTGGCTCATCCCCGGGGAAAGCAGTGCCGAAGCAGGAGGGTTTGGCAGGAACAGGCACAGCCAGGCCGTGGCTCTGTCCTCGCTGGAGGAAAGCAGCGGTTTTGCCATCCCAGCTCAAGGGGTGGGAGGACAGGAGGTGCTGGATACAGCCCAGGGCACGGAGGGAGCAGCAGGAGCATGGCAGCCCCGGGCAGTGCCCGGGAATCTCACCTGCCCACGTGCCAGCGAGCGTCACGTGCAGCCGCCCTCTTGGCTCCAGTCATACCTTTAATGTGAGAGCTCCCCAAACCCAGGCATTTCCAGGATATTCTTGCTTCTGTCTTAAAGGGTGAGTAACTTTTTATAATGAGGGAGGATTAATGATTCCCCCCCCCAGGGATGGGCTGTCACCGCTGAGCAACTGCCAAAGCACACCGAGTGCTGAGGCCAGGGGTGGATGGGCCCTGGCGTGTCCCCCCAGCCCCGTCCACAGCCCTGGTGGCAATGTCTTTTCCCTACACATGGCTCCCCCGTGCCCTGTATCGCTCCCTTTCCCTCCCAAAGCGTGTTTGGGCCATGGTGGTGGCACCAAGGACAGGGAGAACAAGGGGTTCCTGAGTGGGACGACCTTGTCCCTGCACATGCATGTGCTGGGGTGTTTATCCCCCTTCCCCATGACCCCCATCCATGGGGGTTAAAGAGCTTCTGCCTCTGCAGCTGCAGGACACTGCCCCAGCCAGGACATGGGCTCTCCTGTGCCTGTTTCCCTCTGTGGCCGACACGAAGCCTGGGGGGCAGTGGGTTGCAGGAGGAGAGAAAACATCCCCCGACGATGGGACTTGGGAAAGGCCATGAAATCACTCCTCAAGTCACTGGCTCCAGGCTCAGCAGCCCACCAGAGCAGAGCTCCTGGCTGGCTCCCTAAATTTCCCAGAAGGAGAGGCCAGCAAGGCGATGGGACAAGGTGTCCTGGAGCTGCCACCACCCTCAGCCACGCTCAGGTGTCACCCGGGGCCCAAAAACCCAAAGCGAAGGGAGCGGCTGTGCCCTCTGCCAGGCTCAAATTAGTGGCACTGAGATGGGTCATCCCCTGCCACGGCTTTAAAGGCACAAGTCATGCCAAGAAAAACAGCACGTGGTGTCACCGGGAAGCCACTGAGCCTGGGGACACACAGGTCACTGTTCACGCTGCCAGGGGACGGGGACCTCCCCAGCTGGTGGCACCCCAGGGAAGCTGCAAGAGGGCAGCTCAGTCCCTGCCCGCTCTGGGACCATATTTGTGCTCCATGTCAGTGCTGTGTCCCTGTCCCTGCACCCCAGTGGTGCCATGTGCCCCCCACACTCCCCAGGCAGCATTTTGCAGCAGCCAGGGGAGGTGACAGGAGCCATTCCCCAGCTCTGTGTCACCTGCAGTAATAACACCCTGCCCTCCCTTTCATCTCGGGGCCTCCCTGGTGGCTCCTCTCCAGGGCGAGGGCATCCCGGAGGCATCACTCATCATCCATTCCAGGAGCCAGCCGGGGATGGGGGCGAGTCTGGGGGTCCTGGATGGTGACACGGGGACCCAGGCTGAGAGCAGAGAGTGACAACAGAGTGACACCCTCATGGCACGCAGTGAACACAAGCGCTCATTGTGCACCCGTGCAAGTCCAACCTTGCCATGGCCAGCACGGGAAAAACACCTCCCTGGGCAACTGTGGCCACTCGGGGCCGCCACAGCAGCTGGTGACACAACCCCAGGGACACGGGTCCCCCTCAGTGAGGGTCTGGGGACAGTGAGCAGCAGTGGCACCGCTGGGATGGGTTGTGTGGGAGCGAGAGGAGCTGGACAGTGAACCCGAGTGACTGGGAGAGGTCCAGGAGCTGTGTTTGCCCAGGGAGGGTCTGGACGCGGCCACAGAGCAGGGCTCCACCTCCTAAACCCACAGCGGGCACGTGGAGGCGGGCGTGAGTGGGGATGGCAGCGTGGGCGTGGGGATGGTGACAAGTGTGTGGGGACAGCAGCAGCTGTGCAAGGGAGGGCGAGTGTTTGTGTGGAGATGGTGGCAAGTGCGTGCAGGGGGATGGCAGGGAAATGCATAGGGACAGCTGGTGTCTGCGTGGGGACAGCTGACATCAGCGTGGGGACAGATGTGTGCGTCGGGACAGATGTGTGCGTGGGGACAGCTCATGCCTGCGTGGGGACAGGTTGTGCCCGCGTGGGGACAGCTGTGTGTCCACGGGGACAGCTGTGTGTCCACGGGGACAGCTGTGTGTGTGCACAGGCAGCTCGTGCGTGCCCGGCGAGAGCTGCCGTGGGCTTGAGGACAGCCCGCGTGTTCGCGGGGACAGCCCGGGACACGGCTGACGTGAGCGCTGCCAGGGCGGCTGCCGTGGAAGCGGGGAAGGAGGAATGCCCCCACCCCGACACGGAGCACGGCTGCTCCCCCGGGGCGACACTGGGTGACGTTGGTGGCTCCGGGAGAAGGGCTTGGTCCCTCCTGCGCGCTCAGGGAGTTGGCACACACCCTGCGTAATGCCGAGTGGGATGGAGCCGGTCCCACGCGGGTCGGGCAGTCCGTGAGGTCTCTTCACCTCCAGGCTGAGCTTTCACCCCCTGCCCCGCTCCCCTGGCTCTTCCAGCCCTTTTCCCTACAGTTTCCCCACGGACCAGCCCTCCACGGCCACGTGGGGCTGCCAAATGTTCCCAACGCCCCGGGGGGCTCAGCTCAGCTGGGGATGTTCCACCTCTGCCCCCATCCGCCCTCCTGGCAGCCCCTGCCCCTTTCCGTGCCCCTGGAAATGCTTGGAATTCGGGAAGACCCCTGCTCCTCCCCGTGCCCACGCCGGCTCCACCCCAGGCGGTTTCCCGGTGTCCCCTGGGCAGCCCTGGGATGCTGCCGACCCCAGATCCATGGGACAAATGACCCTGGCACCCTGAGCCCCCTTCTCCCCGCACAGCCCCTGTCTCACCCCCGCATCCCCAAAGGGGCTTTGCCACCCTCGTGCCACCAACCCGGGAGGCAGGATCCGCCCGCGTTTCACCCCAGGACCGTGATTATTCCTTAATTGCCAACAAAACAAACGAATAAAGCCCGGGCTGGCTCTTGCTGAGCTGGAAGGAAACGGCCTGGGTGCCATTCCCAGCGCTGAGTTCGCTGCCGGCGGCTCTCCGGGATAATCGTTTGGTGATGGATGTTAACGAGCAGCTCAGCCAGTCGGGCCGGAGCGCGTCAGCTCTTTTTAATGGGTCGATGTTTTCTCCGGAGCCGGCACCACGGCAACCTGTCCCTCTCTCGGCCCGTGGATGGCCCGGCTCATCGCCAGGCCACCGGTTGGTCCCCCGAGGATCTGCAGTGCCCTGCCCATCCCATCGGCTCCATGGCCACATCCTGCCCCATCACCCAGGGCTGTTGTGGCCGGGGGGGTCCCCCCAAACCGCCCTGCCCGAGGGGTGCTCAGCCCCCAGTCAGCCCCTTCCTCTTTCTGGGTCCCCCCTAGCTGGATGGATTCTGATCTCTAAAGCTTCTCAGAATCTTGGGAAACCCTTCCCAATCCAGCTTTGCTGCCGACGGCATCAAAGGGGTTTTGCAATGGGAGGCAGCTGCCTGATTTTATAATCAAGTTCCTTGGAAAATCACTTTCCAGCAGGGCTCCCCTCCTCTTGTGCCCCAGTTCGGAGACTCGTGGAGGGTAACCAGGAGCAACTTTTAATCCCACTGGAGATGCCCGGTGGAGTCATGGGGTGACACAGGCGGAAGTCAGAGAGCAAAACACCTTGGCACGAGGAGCATCCCCCAGGGGAGACCCCAGCAGAGGGGGTCCCGTAGGGACCCCAACAGCCCCCATGGAGACTGCTCAGACTCCCCATCAGGGGATGGGGAGGATTTCAGAGGTGACAGTGCTTGGGACACCCTGTGCCCTCTCTCCCCTCCAGCCTCAGCTGTGGATGCTCCTAAACACCCCATTTCCCCCCATATTCCTCAGCACTCAGTTACTCTTTCTGCTGCCAGCTCCAGCTTCCAGCGGCAAACCCCTGGGATATGGGAGAGGCCTTGGCTTCAGAGACAGACTTTGCAGCTTGGAAGATCTTGCAAAGCCCCAGGGTGGGCGGGTGGAGGGTTTTCAGGGGAGCTCTCACAATAAAAACCTGTGAGGGTGTAAAAATAAAATTGGGCTCGTGTCCCAACGGGGTTTGTAGCTTTCAAGAATGGATCCCAGCTCCAAGCAGGAACTGGGGAAAGGGAGCAGCAGCTGCAGATGCAGAGCCTGGAGTTGTGCCCATCCGTCCACGGGTCCTCAGGGCATCGGGCACCAGCTCGGCGGGGAGGCGCCTGCTGGGAATGTCTGCAGGGGGAGATGCTGCGGAGAAATGAGCTCTTTAAAAGGGGTGGGAAGTGTTGGGATGAAAGGAAATGGGCTGCCAGAGGCTGGGGACACGTCTGGCCCCGGGAGGAGGCGGTGGCTTGGCTGGCAGCGAGGCCACGCGACGGGATTTAGGGGCTGGGGTTGAGGTCCCAGAGCTGGGAGAGCTCTGTCACCCCAGGGTGTCACCCCAGGGTGTGACCCTGTGTCTCCTGGGTGCCAGAGCTCCCTGGGGACGCTGCTGGCCTGGGGGGGCTGGGGGCAATGCGCTGTGGGGCAACAGGACGTGAGGTATCAATGGGGCGTCAGATTATGGGGCATCAATGGGGCATCAGATTATGGGGCATCAATGGTATTAATGGGGCATCACATCACAGGGCATCAGTGGGGCACCATTAATGGGGTGTCAGATCATGAGGCATCAGTAGGGCACTAGGGCATGGACAGCAGTGGGGCATCTTTGGGGCATCAGATCATGGGGCATCAACGGGCATCAGTGAAGAGCAATGGGCAGCAAAGAACATCAACTGGGCATAAAAGGGACATCAAAGGGGCATCACTGGGGCATTGGTGGGGCATCAGTGGGCATGAATCGGAATCAAAGGGTATCAAAGGAAATCAAATGGGCATCGGTGGAGTACGAAAGGCCATCAGTGGGATATCGAAGCCCATCAATGGGGTATCAAAGGCCACCAGTGCGGTATCAATGGGATATCAAAGCCCATCAATGGGGCGTCCCGACCAATCACCGCCGGGATTCCCGCGCGCCGGAGGGGCGGAGCTCCACCCCCTCCGCCCCGCCCCCTCCCCGCCGTCCCGCCCCCTTTCCCCTCCCCTCCTCTCCGATTGGCTGCGTGCAGGGCCGCGCTCCTCCCCCCCGTGCCCGCGCTCGGGCCGGGATTGGCGGTGGGCCGGGCCAATGGGGCGCGGGCGGGGGCTATATAGGGCGCGGCGGGGCGCGGGCGGGCGCAGCGCTCGGCGGGGCCGGTGGCGGGCGGGGGGCGGACGGGCCGGTTCGCTGCGAGTCCTTGCGGGCACCGACCGCGCCTCCCGCCGCGCCCCGCGCGCCCTCCCTTCGCCGGCGCCTCTCGGGGGGGGACTCCTTTTTATACCTTTCCCCCCCACCACCACCTTTTAAATCTTCCTCCCGTTTCCCCCTCCCCGCCCGCCTCTTCCGGCCGGTTTTCCAGGCTGTTTCCGGCTCGTTTTTGGGGCCGTGGTTTGTTTCTTCATTTTTTTTTTGGGGGGGGAAGGGGAAGAGGGGGATCGGTCGGTGAGAGATGCTGGAGGTGGCGGCGGTGCCGGCGGGGGCCGCCCCGGGCGGTTCGGAGCAGCGCGGGAGCCGCTTCAGCGTCCTGACGTGGGAGCAGGTGCAGCGGCTGGACCAGATCCTGGGGGAGGCTGTGCCCATCCACGGCCGGGGCAACTTCCCCACGCTGTCCGTGCGGCCCCGCACCATCGTCCAGGTGAGCTCCGGGGCGGTCGGGTGGGTTGTAAAATAGGGGGGGGGGGTACGGGGGGGGACACACGGGCCGTGCGCTGTCGCCCCGTTGGACTCTGCCCCGTCCCAGCGGGGGTCAGGGAGAAAATAAAAAGTGCTGAGGCGACATTAATCGTCCCCGTCGGGCCCCGAGCCAAGCCGCCCGGGCACCCTCGGCCTCCCCCCGCGCCGGGCCCGGGGCAGAGCTCCCGGCGCGGGGATCGTGGAACGCTCTGGGCTGCAGAGCAGCTTAAATACCGTGAGTACCCCCCGCTGGAAGGGACTCGCAAGGATCAGCCCATCCTATCCCAGCCCCCCCCCGCTCTTGCACGGCACAGCCATCAGAAATCCCACCCTGTCTCTCAGAGCGTTGTCAAGACGCTGCTTGGCCTCCGGCACGCCTGGGATTAGGGAAGACCATTTCATTCCAAGCCCCTACCCCTATTCCAACACCTTCCACTAGATCAGGGTGCTCCAAGCTCTGTCCAGCCTGGCCTGGATGCTCCAGGAGGGGGTTAAAAGCTGCATAGAGGGGACTGGCCCCCATCATCTGGGGGGTGCTGTGCACTCAGCTGGCCCCACTTCCCAATCCTGAGGGTCTCGGTGGGGGCTGGCAGGAATTCATTGCACTGCAGGAATGTCTAAAGCTGGAAGGACCCTCCTGGAAAACTCGCATGCCTGTAAAACGCATTCCCCACTGCTGGAGCTGCTGCAGCTCGTGCCACAGATCCCGCTCAGCTTCCTCCCATCTTGTGTTGTTCCTCCTCTTTTCGAGTTAATTTGGTGCCCTAAGAGCTGTGAAACGTGTGTGGCCGAGGCAAAAGTGGCTTTTTTTTTTTTTTTTTTTTTTTTTTTTTTTTTTTTTTTTTTTTTTTTTTTTTTTTTTTTTTTTTTTTGGAGCTGCTTCCACGAAATGGCTTCGTGCTTGGTGGACATGTTGGGCTTGTGTTGGAAGAGGCATTTATTAATTCAAGTGCCGGATCAAATGTCCGTGTCCTTTGATTTCTCGGGACACTGGTGTATCCTCCAGAGCCTGCCCGGGACTTCACGAGCTCCTGTTAGTTTAACCATCAAGTAATAACCGTGTTTAATATTAAACTAACAATGTAGTTCGAATGAGCTGATGCATATTCATGTTTGGGAGGCGACTTCATTCCTCAGTAATGACTCATCAAATGTAAAATCGGGCATGTTGGCTTCTAATTAAAAAGCCTATTCACGGCGCTAAAACCCAACTGGCTTTCACAATAACCTAATCACCGGGATTTCGGAGCCTCAGCTGCTTGAGAAATAGTTCGAGCTAAGCCTGGAAGATGGGAAGGTGACATTTGAAAGGCTCGGCTGGTTTTAAATTCCTCGAGTTCCTGCCGCGTCTGTTGGGGGCAGAAGCGCTGAATTTTGGCCGCTCTTAAGCTGAACGATAGATGAGATTTGCAGGCAGGACGCTGCCCTTGGCTTGGGCAAGACCACAGCGCTGTGCAGCATCAAATATTCCACCGGTTATTCCTCTCTGGTTCCACACAAACCGCGCCGATTCGGGTGTCAGAGCTGCCGAAAAGGATGTTGCCAGTAGCAACTTCAAACATGGAATAACTGAGGGCTGTAATTGTGCCCGGCCGTGCTGGCAGACCCTGTGTTTAGGGCTGACTAAGCTGGAACAAGTAACCCAAAAGGCAGTTATTTATCCTGTTGTTGTTGTTGTGGGAGGTGGGAAGCGGCGGGTCAGGACGCAGCAGGATTTGCTCCTGCCTGGCTGTCAGAGTCAATTATCCCAACCACACGGAAGGTGAGGTGCTGTTTTGGGAAGCAGGTCAGCAGCTGCCTAACCCTAGAAATATCCGACCCTCTGGGGGAAAAAATGCATCCCTGAACCCACTGCCTGCAGCTGGGCAGCTGAGCTCCCAGGGAATGGCAAGGTGCTCTGCAGGCTGGAGCTTCCTGGGGTGACTTGGGACAAAGCTGACTGGAGCAGTTGGATTTGTCCCCCGTTTTCTGAATACATCTCACAGGGACAGACCTGGGGAGCTCAAGTAAGCCCGGAGCTTACGGGCCTGAAACGCTGCAGGTCCTGAGCTTTGCTCGGAAAGGGGTTAAGCAGATGTTCTCTGGGGTTAGGAAATTAATCTGGAACGAGATCTTCTCCAAGCACTGGGCCTGGCTCTGCATCTAACACTTTTGTGACCTATATCTTGTCTCTCTAAGCCTAATAGCACAAAACTCTTAACTCCACGAGTAGTGCTGGAGCTGTGCCCCGGGTGAGTGACTCCAGTTGGCAGCAGATGCAGACCAGGAGCTCCCCTGCACGATGTTTGTTCAATTTGGGGGATTAACCCTGTGTCTCTTCTTCTAGGAGTAAACTTAATGTGTTTTGGTTTTCTTTTTTCAAACTATCTACCTTGGAAAGCAACTTCTTTCCCTGGCTGGATTGGATGTGCTGGTGGGGGGACCTGGGGCTTCTGATGGTGAATAGCTCCCTGGTTAACTGTTGCCTGACATGTGACTGTCACCACGGGCTTGGCAAGGAGCCCAGGCATGCTTCTAGCCTGAGCAGGGATGGCTCGTGTCAGGGAGAAAAGGGAAACACTAGCAGGGAAGCTGCATCGTGAGCCTGAGCAACCTCTAAGTGCAAAAACATCCACGGGGTTGTTCTGAGATCTTGTCTTGGGTTTTTTTTGCAGAGGCAGCAGAACTTGCTGGCGGCCCTTAGTTTGGTCTCAAGGGGTCTGTGACAGGGTGAGGGTTTCACGCTGCGGTTCTTCACTTTTTGTGTGTTCTTCTCTCTAAACGAAACTCGTGGAGGGGCAGTTTTACAGCTGCTGAGGCCGGAGCTGCAGCGCCCTGAATCTCCCCCAGCGCTGCCTGCTCAGCCAACAAGAGGGTTTGGCCCTTCTGATCAAGTTCTGAATTAGAATTCGGATTCTGGGAGGCCGAAAACCAGAATCGGTGGGGCCTCTCAAACTAGGGCAGCGTCGCAGAGCTGAAGGGCCTGGTTGGACTGGCTCTTGGTGATACAATTTGTCCATTTGTGTCCCAGGCTTTGGCTCTTTCGAGCCCTAGCCCTGCTTCAGGCAGGGGACTCCCAGGAAAACGGGTAATTGCTGCTGGAGAGGAACATGAAAGCAGGATGAGAGGTGGGAAGAGCTTCTGGTGGAAGATGCGGGCTTAATCTTCCTGGGATCTTTGAGCTGAGTTAAACTCAAATTATAAGCTGGTGTCCAGAGAGTTTATTTTATGGTCTTGGGGGTTATTTTAGCCTCCTGCTTGTTAAGTAATCAGGCAGGTGATTCAGCTTCCCTCTAAATGAACAAAGCTTTGGAGGGACTGGTGGGTGTGCCAGGACTGAGCAGGCAGCATTAAAATCACCGGAGTAACACCCGTAAGATGAAAGCTGCCTCTTGCGCTTGATAGCACGCCAAGCTCAGCACGAAGCTCTGACACACTGGAAATTGTTAGGATACACTTACTAGTTGGGACATGAACTTGCATACGCCTGGCTGGGGCTTTTGAGCAGCTCTGGCATCTTGATTTGCCTCTAATGAGTCTTGACAGGCCGAAGGGGATGGCTAAAAGGCGTGAGCCACCCTGATTAAATCCACTGGGACTGCTGCAGACTGTGCTGCTGCCTCCCTGTTTGGGGTCAGTTTGGGGTTGGCTGGTCTTGGCTTGCTGGCTGGAACCGTGAGGGGATGAAGGGGGCAGAGACCACCCCAAAAAATGGGGTCAGGGAACCTCTCCCCTTCAGCGTGGGGAAGGCAGGGGAGAGCAGACACTGCGCTGGAAGCAGAACAGCTCATCATGTGCAGTCAGATCCCTCTAATGCAAGGGAATAAGTAAAGGAGAGCCACCCCCAGCTGCTGGCAGGACTCGGGATGCTTTCCAAAGTGACCTATTTCTAATGGATTAGCTTTTTATTTCACTGTCTTGCACTGGAGTGACCCATATAAGCCCAGGGAGTGAATCCTGCTGTCACCAGGCTGCCCCAAAAATTCCTGCTTGCCTCTCACTGACTCTCTTCATGTCTCAGGTTGTCCGCAGCCGCCTGGAGAAGAAAGGAATCACAGTCCATAACGTCAGGTTGAATGGCTCAGCAGCCAGTCACGTTCTGCATCAAGACAGTGGCTTGGGGTACAAAGACCTGGACCTCATTTTCGGCGTGGACCTGAAGACGGAAGACGTTTTCCAGCTCGTCAAAGACGTGGTCATGGATTGCCTGCTTGACTTCCTCCCCGAGGGGGTCAACAAGGACAAGATCACCCCCATGACTCTGAAGGAGGCCTACGTGCAGAAGCTGGTGAAGGTGTGCAACGAGACCGACCGCTGGAGCCTCATCTCGCTCTCCAACAACAGCGGGAAGAACGTGGAGCTCAAATTCGTGGACTCTCTCCGGCGGCAGTTCGAGTTCAGCGTGGACTCCTTCCAGATCATCCTGGACTCGCTCCTGCTCTTCGGGGAGTGCTCGGAGAACCCCATGGCCGAGAACTTCCACCCCACGGTCACCGGGGAGAGCATGTACGGGGACTTCGAGGAGGCCATGGACCACCTGCGGAACAGGGTCATCGCCACCAGGAACCCGGAGGAGATCAGGGGAGGGGGGCTCCTCAAGTACTGCAACCTCCTGGTGAGGGGGTTTAAGCCCAAGTCGGAAGTGGATATGAAGGCACTACAGAGGTACATGTGCTCCAGGTTTTTCATAGACTTCTCCGACATCGGCGAGCAGCTGAGGAAGCTGGAGTGTTACCTCCAGAGCCACTTTGTTGGGATGGAGAGCAACAGATATGACTATTTGATGACCCTCCACAGGGTGGTCAATGAGAGCACAGTCTGCCTCATGGGACACGAGAGGAGGCAGACCCTGAACCTCATTGCCATGCTGGCTGTGAGGGTCCTGGCTGAGCAGAACATCATCCCCACCGTCACAAACGTTACCTGCTACTACCAGCCAGCCCCTTATGTCAGTGAAATAAACTTCAACTACTATGTCACCCACGTGCAGCCCTTCCTGCCTTGCAATCAGTCCTACCCAACGTGGCTTCCCTGTAACTGAGCCAGGACAAACGTCAGGGTCTGCCCTCCAAGGTATTTCCTTGCCTTGGCGGGTCGGGAGGGTGGGATGGGGGGGGGATAAAAACCAAAACAAAACAACAAAAAAAAAAAACCAACCAACCTTCCTAGAACTGCAACAAAAAGAAACTTCCTGGACTCTTGCTTGAGTGTCTTGTTCCTGGGGTTGTTGGGACAAGACCTGTCTGCTGTACACTGTGATGGGAAGTGCAGTGTTATGGAAATGAGATGACTCGAGGATGTTTATGGGAGGACTCTGCTTGTGGAATTCTGGAAGGCAATGGGGTGGGTGGGGGTGTGTGAGGGGAGACTGTAGAATTACGCTAAGGTAGAGCTGCACTGCCCTGAAATGGATCTGAATTGTGTTTTGTTTTGTTTTTTCTTTTTTTTTTTTCCTTTTTTTTTTTTAGTGCAGGAGGTGTTATGGGTGTGCAAACTTGTGGTTTCTGCCAACAGAAGCCCGAGTGGCTAATTCCTTTGAAGGACCAAAGAATCCTGTTTAAGTGCCTGTAACAATATAAACACAACTGTACTGTAAACCTTTATTATTTTTGCAGGGGCTGATGTCCCAAGAGCTTGAGTGGGGAATGTCTGAAGAGGAAAATGTTTCTGTTGTGGGGTGGGGAGGGTCGTGAGATCATTTCTAGTAACCTGGCTGAGGTTCTGTGTCGCTGAGGTTTGTTGTTTGTTGTTTTTTTTTTTTTTTCTTCTGGCATGACTTGCTGCCTGTGAAGGACCAGCTGGAGCAAAGAGCTGTCAAAGTGGGGCTGCATAAACCAGGGAGGTATTGGAGTGGCTACGTGTAAATGCCTGAAACTGGGAACAGTGGGGAAGGGGGGGAGTGCATGGTGGAAACTGCTGTGCAGAGCTTTCTGGAAAAAGAGGCAGCAGGGACCTGCATATGAATTCCTTCAAGCTCCCAAGTCTGCAGTGCCAAAACACGGTCGTGTTCCTAAATGGCGAGGCAGATGATCTGTCCAGGAGCCTGCCTCAGGCTGCTGTACCTAATCCTGTATTTTCTAGGGGAATTTGAAATGCTGCTCTTCCTATTTTTCTTTTTTAGGTTTTTTTTCTTTTTTTTTTTTTGGCATGCAGTGTGGTTTTAATGCACAAAGGCAGAGGCCAACTGGGTTATCGGGGAAGATGAGGCTTGTCCTTTTGAAGCACAAACCACCCAGTTGAGTAGTCAGTTGTTTCCAGCTGTTGCTGGAGCCTGTGTCCTCCGAGGAGATGGGCAGAGCTCTTCCAGTCTGGAGATCTTCCCTTTGGCAGGTCCTATCTTCCAAAGCAACCTGTTCCCGGCTATGTGATTCCATCAGCATTTGAAATTCATTCTCTAGCTAGAAATGGAGCTTGGAGGGGGGGTGGGGGTGAAGTTAGTTGGCCTTAGGAAAGAGGGGGGGTGGGGGAAGAAAAGAAAAGAAAAAAAAAAGTCTTCTAAACAGACCCTCTTGTGCTGTGAGGGTTTGGCTCTCTCAGTCCAACGTGGCTTTGAAGTTGTTGGGTGTCTGGAGCACGGGAGTTTTTTCATGGAGGTGCCTGCACTGCCGTGCCCGTGGAGCATCTCAGAGTTAACTATGCAGGGAGGGAGAGGCGGGCAGGCAGCAGGCATTCCCTAGGGATGCTGCTCCGGGAACACCACGGCTTCACTGGTGCTTCCTCCGAGGCTGAGGTACTCGAAGTATCTTTGATTGACTTGGGGGGGGTGGTTTTTTTTGTTGGTTTTGGTTTTGATTTTTTTTTTTGCCTCTTTTTTTTTTTTGTGATAAAACTGTAATAGCTGGGCAGATTGAACGCTCTTAATAAAGACTAGATCCTTGGAATGTGCATAGCCAGATTGGTACCTTTCTTGGGGTAGGGGCGATGTGGAGTTGGGGAGTAAATGGGGGTGGGGGGTTGGATCTTACCCTTAACACGAACTAACCCAGTGGAAACTGGCCCAGCTTTGCTCCCTCTCCAGTCAGAGCTGGGGAAGTGTCCCTAACAGTGTAGTTTTTTTTAGCTGCCTCCCTGCAGAACAGCTCTGCCTTCCTGGCCAAGCCTGTCGTGTCGGCTCTGCTGCAGCCCCCTAACTCCCCAGAGCCTCAGGGGTGGGAAGCTTGAGATTTTTCCAGTGCGAGGTAAATAAAACTGGTTTTAAGGGCTGCTTTTTGGGAGCAGATGATACTTTTTCTTTCATTTTAAACTTCAGATGAACAGAGATGCCATGTAAGCACGTTTTCTACGGGCTGCTGCTGCCCACAGACATGTGGACATACTAAACTGAGATTCCCTCCTTCCCCCTGAGATGTCCAGAAAGATTCCCTACAGCCAACAGCTCGGCAGGGCGACTTCCCATTGAGATTGCACTTTTGATTTACGGAGTGTGTGTGGTGGGACTCTTGTGAATGGGTTGAATCTGACTTTTTCTAGACCTTGCAGTGATACTGTGCTGCCTCCTGTGAGGGGGCAATTGGAAGATTCCAGTAGCTTGAATGGCACTTGATTTATTTTTGTTTTGTTTTGTTTTAAATGTCTCTTTTTTTTTTTTTTTCCTACACCTGTATCACTTGTCATGCGATGGGCTTGACATAGACTCACTAGATTCTTTAGAATCTGTTACGAATAAATACAGTGTATTCAAATCTGTTGGGTTATTTTTATTTGCTTGTCCAGTCGGGGGGAGTGTGGTGACGAGGTGACTCTGCTCCCAGCCAAAAACCAGGCTCAGAACCAACAGGTGTCCTCGAAAGGAGTTGAGCTGAGATCCCGGTCCTGGACCTGCCCAGATGCTCCTTGTACCCCAGGCTGCTCCAGCCCTCTCTCCGAAGCAGCTACAAATCCCAGGAATTGTGTAGCTGTTGGCAGGTCGCTCCCCCAGCTGAGGGAGGTTTCTATTTATAACACTGTTCTTTAGTGTTGTGCATCTTCCCTTTTCCTGGTGCTCCTCATGTTGCTGGAAGTGGGGGGGAGGGTGGCCCGAGGTGGTGATCTGAGGTCCCTGCTGTGGGAATGGCACTGGGAGACTCTCCCTGCTGGTTTTCCACGGCTTCATTCCCTGCTGGTGGTTGTGAACAGCAAAAAGGTGGTTTGAGTAGTTAAGGCTTGGGTACTGCGTGTGGCTGACCCACCTGCAGGGTGGTTCCTCTTGGAAAAGGGGAGGGTGAGAGGCTCTGGAAGGCTTATCTCCCCAAAAAAAAGCTGGGTTCTGCTGATGTCCAGGCCAGATTCCCGTGGGATGGCTGGCAGCTGGGTGCGAGCTCCTCCAGCTCTGGCTGCCCTCCAGACCAAGATGAAGTTTCACTTCCCCTTGTCAAGCTACAGGCAGTTCTGGTTCCACTGCAACAATGGAGCTGACGAGGTGCCAGTCCCTCTTTGGGACAAACTTGCTGGCTCTGCATCTCCAAATTTTTACAGTCTGGGGGCCAAAGCTTCCCTCTGACAAACAGGGCTGGGATGTTCTCGCTGGGCTGGCACTGTGTGAGTCCCTGCTGCCTGCTCGAGCAGGGCTCTGCCTTTGCAGAGAGCTGATTTCTCTCCAAACCTGCTGGGTTTAGAGATGTTTTCCCCCTCTCTGGCACAAACCCAGCACCCTCTCCTGCCTTCCCCTGAGCGTCTCTCGTGTGTGGAAGCAGCTCTAAAGTCTCTTAGTCCATCAGCTGTCTTCAGTGTGGGTGGTTGGTCCTGCTGTTGATGCTGTGGTGAATAAGCTGCCTCTGGATTTGTGACCCTGAGCAGAGCAGCAAAAGCCCTGACAGAGTCGGCTCAGCATTGTTGGAGCGGATCAGACCATACAAAAGGATGTTGGTGGAAAGTACTAGTTGTGATCAGAAAGGAGCTATCAATGTTTACAGCCGAGATTCGGATCCCTCTTTTGTTAATTGTCAAATAAAAAAAAAAAAAAAAACACTATATATTTTCTCACAGCCTGTAGTCTGTCATTATTTTCCTCTCTGAGGCAGAGGGCGAGGGATAAGTCAGGGTGTGCCTGAGGGGGTCTGGGGGGTGAGATTTGGGCTCTAGTGACGCTTGGTGCTCCAGTGCTTGGCTCTGGAGCTCTGCTCTGAGGGCAGACGTGTGCTGGGGTGGCTGCTCCTTTATAGTAGCTGTCTATAAATACAGCTCCCTCTATTTAGCCCCGTGGTCTGGGCAGTGCCCAGCTCGGATAACCGGAGTCAGGAGCAGAGGAGCCCACGCCACAGCCCGTGGTACAGTACAGCACGTGCCCACAGCACCTCTGCAAAGGGCTGCTGGGCCATCAATGCCTGGAGATGGGTCCAAAAATACTCGGCGTTTGTAGCAGCGAGGATCACTCCCGGGGCTGGCGATGCGGGTTTTTACATCTGCAGCTTTTTTTTCTCCTGGAAGGACATCTGGCCTCGCTCCAGAACCACTGAAACGGCAGGAATTTGTCTTGACTCCAGAATGCAAGAAGCATCTTGCTCCAACCTCCCTGCTCCCAGCCGTCCTTAATCTGCTGGCCCGGTGCCGAGGGTGGCACCAGCTCTGTGCAGGCGGCTTGCTAGACCCAGCATGGCATTTACATTTTATTTTAATCTCTCTATTTAGGTGTGGGGTTTTTTTTCCCCTTGCAGCATGCCAACGTTTCTCCCCAGCTGCCCTTCTCCTCCTCCTCCTCGGGAGCCGCTGGGGCAGCGCGGGTGTTAACTGTGCCATTCGAGCTCCTGCAGCAATGAGAGAACAGTCTGTCTGTGCAGCTCCTCTTGCCATTTATAGCTGTGTTTGGGCGATCCAGCACACGGGCCCTTGTGCTCCAGAGCCTGGTGCCAAGCACGAGACAAATGCTCCATTGATATGGGACGTTCTGGGAGGGCAGTTCGCTCTCGGGAACGGGGCTGAGCTGCCGGAGGATGGCACAGCCCACCCTGCCTGGTCCTGAGCCTTGGGGGGATGGCACAGCCCACCCTGCCTGGTCCTGAGCCTTGGGGGGATGGCACAGCCCACCCTGCCTGGTCCTGAGCCTTGGGGGGATGGCACAGCCCACCCTGCCTGGTCCTGAGCCTTGTGGGGGTGAAGGTTGATGGTGGGGAAGCCTGTAGTGGTCTGTCACTGAACCCTCCGACCTTACCTCCTGGAGGTTCTGGTTGAGGCTTTTCTGCTCCAGACAGGATTTCGGCTCGTGTTGGACACATGGGATGCCCTGAGTTGGAAGGGAACCACGTGGGTCATCAAGGACAACCCCAGCCTTGTCTCCAAGCACTTCTTGACCTCTGGCAGACTTGGTGCTGTGACCACTTCCCTGGGAAACCTGTTCCAGTGCCCAACCACCCTCTGGGTGAAGAACCTTTTGTGTGCAGGGGTGGAGGAGCATTGAAAAGGCTTTTTTTTTTTTTTTTTTCTCTGTACAGGCAGTATTTGCACTGTTCAGCTCCAAACACAGGTTGCCACAGACCTTTTGGCTGTTGGCTCCGTGATTTCCCTGACTCAACCGCCTTCTCCCACCTCTGACTTCTTGCATCCAGCCTGGCATGAGCAGCTCAGGCGTTCCCTTCCCTCCTGAGCCATCACAAGGAGAGATCAGCTCATGCAGAGCCTCTTGCCTGCTCCACAGCATTCCAGCTTCCCCTAAAATCCCAGTGTGCCTGCTCTTCCCTGCTCCTTCTGGAAGGAGTGAGCCCTGCGTGCCGAGCTGCTGCTGCTCCCTCACCTGGGTGGATCCCCGAGCCTGGGCACCCATTTCAGCTTGTAGGATCATGACGGCTCTGACAAATTTGATTAAAATCCTCTGCTGGCATCCCGAGGTGTTCAGGGGAATGATTGACAACCGTCACGAAGGCGTTTCCTTAAGGAAGGAGGAAAAGGAGTCAATTGTCTTCTCGCTGCAGCCTCGAGGTGTTGCACAACCGAGGCTGTGACACGAACCAAGGACGGGGTGTCCTTGCACTCCTCTGCCCCGACCCACCGCACATCCCATCAGCGATGCCAAAGGGAAACAACGACATTCCCAGGAGAGACGAGGGGCTGTGGGTGGGACGGTGGCTCTGGAGACAGGCGTGAGGCTGGAGCGGCGCCCGGGGCGGCGCAGGGCGGTGTGTGATGTGTTATCTCTCCCTCCCGTACAAGAGAGAACACGCATCTTCCCTCCCAGCAGCTCTCATCGTTCTTTCCGAGCGCTGTAACCATTCCCACCTCTCCCTCCCGGCCGGGAGGTTTCCCTTTGGTGGGGATGAGGTCGAAGCCCTTCAAAGGGCCGGCTGGCTGGGGCGGTTGATCATTGCCCTCTCCACCACCACGGTGTATTTACCCTCCTTATCTTGCCACTATCAAGGGTTCAGCGAGAGCAGTGTCACCCTGCCTTCAAAGGAAAAGCCACCAGCGCGCCGCGCGTCCCCCGGGGTGTTTGTGTGGCCCATATTTTTGCCTTGTAATACAAGGAGGGGCTGGATGCAGGACACCCCTCCAGCCCTTCACCCTTCCCCCCTCCCCGTAGCCGGCGTGGCTGGAACAGCTGATTACTTTAAGCATCCCTCTGCTAATATGCAATTACAGGTCGCTTGGGCTTGAAATCCCAGTTAAATCCGCATGTCCGCGGCGTGACTCACCTAAGGACTGCTCCCCTGATGAATCCTGGATGCATTCCTGAAAGACTGGACATAATGTTAACATGCTACTTACCAACCACCCTTCCCAAATGTCACCAGTGCAACGAGTCGAGCCAGTTTCTTCCTCGGCTCCTCCTTCCCTGCAGCCCTTGATAGTCCCGGACAAAGGTTGGTCTGGTCATCCAGGGTGTAATCCCACTTTGCAGGGGGGTTTTATAGCAGGGCTCAGGGGGAAACCAGTCCCTCAAAGGATGCTTGTGTGCCTGGGGGGTGTTTTAGCCGAGATCAG